CTGACCCGGCGCAGTGAGCTCTGACCCGTGGCTCTGTTCACATCAGTAAATAGCAGTTAGCGATTTAGCTGGTTCTTTTTCTTTCTTTCTTTCTTTCTTTCTTTTGTCTAAGTTCGCTGACATCAGGACTACTGCGAGGACAGGAAATCTGTCAAACACGTCTCGGTGCCGGTACAAGTCTGATGACACATCGTGGAATCAGGTCTGATGGGTGCAGCCAGCTTTAATAAATCAAGACAAAATCTGCACTTCTTATCATTTTAATAGAATTTTAGCAACATTTCACTTCAGATGCTGCATAAGAATGATCCTAAAATGACAGGACTTTTTAATTCAGTTTAGAATAAACCAGTTTAAAGGTATTACACCCTGCATGTTGTGAGAAAATCTTACCGTACAGCAAGCTGAAGGGTTATATTAGAATTTGAAAGGTTTTAAATACTGTTCTGCCCCATACAGAACCATTCGGAGACTTTGTAAAGGGTATCTGCAGCTCATTTGTGTGGATTTATTGAGAGCTTAGCTTCTGCTCCCTGTCTGAAATAGAGATCCAAGTTAATAGAATCAGGAGCGGCAGCCTGCTCTCTTTAGCCGAATCGGTTTTATTTTTTCATTTTGTGTGAGATGAAGAGGGGAAACAGAGGAGGCAGGGAGGAGGAGAAAGCTGGGATGTTTGGAGGAGGGGAACAGCAACGCCGCTSTTTAATACAGAGTTTTAATTCAAGTTGGGCATAATGTGTGAGATAATGCTCAAAGTATGTGTTGAGGATGACTTGCAGCTACTACCATGTCAAATTTGACCTCTAAATTCAAGCCATTTTGAGTCATTTATGCATTGGCTAATGTTAAAGTGGACCTATGTGTTTTTGTACTTCCAGAAACAGTCCAAGTGCCAATAAATAAATAAATACTCAGACATTTTTTGGCAATATATAAATGTTTTGTCAGTGTCAGCAAATGAGCTGTTGCAAAAACCTGCAAATTGTTACGTCACAATCTGGGCAAATGCCAAGGCAAGCCCAGTCCCTTACCTGGTATCCCAAGCAGAGACTCCGCCCACTTCTTCACAGGACAACCAGGTTTGTTCTGCTGTTTTTATAACAGTCACGGAGAACAGAGATGCGTGGCTTAATTTTATTATTATTTTTGATGGCAATGTTCCTGCAATATTGTCAAAGGAAGTTGTAGTTTGTGCAAATAATTTCACGATGGACTCCTTCGAAAACAAACAGCACCTTCGGGATGTGCCCAATGACTTCCAACTGAAGGAAAGTTCAATTCAGCTTATTTATAAAGCACCAAATCACAACCAACCCATTCTTACACCTGACTCATTAACATATTGATGCTTAGTCTGGTCTGCGTCCAGTTTTGGACGTGTCGGGTACCCCCCCCTCATGCCAGTTCTCAACAAGATGAGACGGAGGAGGAGGAGCGCGTTGTCGTGTTTTTGAAAAGAGTAGGAAGTGTGCGAAACTAACCATCCCAAACCCTCAATGTAACTTATACAGTATTAGCCATATACAGCCTATCCCTGACCTCAATACCTAAAGTTATCCTCATATTAATCTCAGACCCCCAACCCAAAGACCCCTGTGTGGCGCAACCCAGAAAAGCCGCAAGCGGCAGTGACTAATGTGAGGAGGGGGGTTACCAACACGTCCAAATAGGACGCAGACAGTACCTGACCAAGTGTCAATATGTTGACGAGTCGGGAGTCAGAACATGTTGTCACAACATATGTCACCTCAGGGTACTGTACACAAAAATCAGTCTACAGAATCCAGCAGATTGCATTGCATCACTTCATTGTCTCCCATCCTGAGCAGCACATTGGTGACAGTGGAGAGGAAAAACTCCCTTTTAACAGGAAGAGGCCTCCAGTAGAACCAGGCTCAGGACAGACGGCCCTTATCTGGGAGCCGGGAGCCTCCAGGCTGCAGCAGCACAGACTTTGACTGCCCCTCYGTTCGTCTTCGCAGGCTTTGGGAAGTGGCGATGAAAGTGTGTTGACCTCCCTGGCACCAAGGAATTTGATTTTGGTCAGATGCTCTCTGTCCCTACCAAACCCTTGCCCAAGGTGACCCATCTACTACTGTTGTACCATGGTGCATCTGCTTGTACTGTTGGACTAGTAGCCATTTTCACATATCTGAAATGCTAACATAACAGCTGTGTTAGGAGGGCGGAGCTAACAAAAGGCTTGGAGGGCGTTGCCAACAGCAGCTTATTTGCATGAAGGGGTCATTCTGAAGGGAGCTCAGAACAGTCAGAACTGATCAGGTGAAATCTCCTGATCTGAAAATAATTGTGTGTTTTAAATTTAGTGAACACGTTTTGTATAGCCCATAGATGTATCCTTTAATGTTCAAGGAACCATAATCAGTCCCCTTTAATAAAACTTTAAAAGTTCATCAGTTGTAGATGAGCAGTTACATTCAGATTCCTTCACTGCTTCAGAAGATATTTTGCTAACGACAGACAAATTCACTGAGTGGAAAGCCCAGCTGCAGACTTGAACAGACCGCAGCGTCACACATATTACATGCTTCAGGTTTTCCTTGTATCAACACGTGCTCAGCTTTAATCGAGTGGAAATAAAACTTTCAGATCTTGCAGGGACGATAAACAGGAACGAGGAGGCGAGCGCGCCGCTGTCTGAGCGGAGATGACAAGTTTAATATGAGTGGATTTAAATCTGCAGGCAGGAGAYGAATCCATAAAAAGCTGAAGGACGTTACTGGAACTGAGCCTGCAAGTCTGCTTTAATTTATCGGACTCTAATCATTTACATTTATGTGCCGATCTCATGATTTGATTCAATACGCTTCTGAAAAAAGKAGTTAAATTTGAAAGAAAATCCATCTGCAGGGCTCAGGAATCTGTTCCAGGTGACTGAGTCCTCTCGTCTCACACTGAGCGACTCGGGCCATGCACCTGTTTATCACTAAAACACACACAGCGTGGTCTGAGAGCCACATCAGTTCAGACTCATCATTTAAGCAAACCTGATATAATACTCCATAATGTGAGTTGACATGGGGGTAAATTTCTGGCTATATGGCCAGATTAAACTGTTACTTTTATTGAGCAGGGTTGTAAAACTCCTTCGGACCTGTTTCTGTTGCTTTTGTTGTCCATCCTGACCACAGACAGACGGCTATTCAACTCGGCACCCGTGCAGGTTGCCCTGACAACAAATAGTCAAGGCTGCTGGACAGTGGCGCTCAGGATGAGGCTCATATGGACCTCTTTGACAGCCGGCATTTTGACTTATCATGGCAGTAAAAGCACAGGTGGCTGCTCTTCTGATTCAAAAAAAAAAAGCTATGCTTCTGAGAGTATTTTAATGGAATATAACCATCATTTCTGGTCCTGTTCCTACTTTAACACGTCACAATACCTGCTGTTTTCATCCCTGCAGCCTGCAGAGTGCATATAATCAACATGAACCCACTTATGGCCCCCTGTGGAAGCAGCGATGCAAGCGAGGCTTGATGCACACTGCAGCGGTAACAGAATCAGCGGTAGGACCTGGTGCACATAGCAGCCATTCAGTCCCTGAACAAAACATTACATCTGTGAAGTGGAAGTGAGTCAGCCGAGCCTCAGCTCTCCGTTTGATTCTCAAAATGTAGCTGCAGAGCTGTGGATCAGCTTAGTGGCCCCACGTGAGTTAAAAAGATTCTTGCATCAACTGACAACAAGACATATATCACAGTAAAAACCAGAGTGTTAAAATGTCAGTGTTCAACCTTTCAGAGTTAATTTAACTCGTAGTGTTATTTTAACACATTCTGAGTAAACAGACTTCCAGTGTTGGTGTTACAGTGTTGATTTCCTCAGTGTTGTCTCAACACTGGACAGTGTTCAATAAGCCCCGCCCACTGTTAAGTCTTATATAACACTTAACAGTGTTGTTAAATGACACCATGCAGTGTTGAAAGAAGTATTCTGAAAAAGTCCCGCCCTCTTCCACCTCACGTCAGACAGACTAGTATTTTCATAGCAAGAAATGGGTAATCTTGTGGAAATTAAATTTTTGCAAGTTTATAACTATTAAAAACGTTCACGAGTGTAAAAATTAGTTGTTCTAGTTAGTTTTCTTGTTCAGTTTGGTTATTTTTTTTTAACTTTAAGCTTGTGTTATTGGCCATAAATCGACACCATGAGTGAGATCCTGATGTGTGAAGGTCGACTCCATTACACTTATCCAGTAATTACTGTGTAATGTTAATGTAACACTAAAAAGAGTTAATTAACACTGAAGTGTTAAACTTACACTTTCAAATTTACTGTGTAATGACACCTCATGGTGTTTGTTATACACCCCTCTACACAGCAATAAATAATCAACACAGTCGAGTGTTAAATTAACTCTCATAGGAGGTATATGAACCTCCAGTGTTAACCATCACTCAATGCAGTGTTGAAAAACATGAGAATCAGAGTTGATTTGTCACCACAGTGGAGTACCTTATTAACACTAAAACTCATATTTACTCTCATCAGAATTATTTGACTTGAAGAGTTAAGTTTTATTAACACTGTGCAGTGTTAGTCAGTGTTAATTTTTAACTGTTTAGAGTTCAATTGTAGTCTGAAAATGCAACATTATGGAAAGAGTTAAGTTGACACCAATTCAGATAAGGACCAAAAACTCAGACACAGTGTTAAATTTAACTCTTTAAGTGTTGATTTAACACAGGTGCAAAAATTATCATTAGTTTCTTCAAAAGATTGCGCAACAATTTTTTTTATTATTATTTTTATTGAACCAAAATTCAAATGGAATGCCTGATTTTCATAGCTGCACAGTGAGACTCGGAGTTTATTATTCTTTTCATTACTTTTGTCAAGTTATTTCAGTGACCTTTGCGGATGTTTCCAGTATTTAACAACAATATCCGTGTCTGTAAAGAGATGGTGCGAGCCTGCGCGCAGGAGCGCGTACGTGAGAGCCGGGAGAGCGGAGTGTGTGACGACGGTGCGGCGGAGAAGGGGGGGAGCGACGCGGATGAGACGCACACACACCCTCAGTGCTTCTCACACACCGAGGAGAGAAGGAGGACGGAGAAGAAGACGGCGTGGAGACAAGAAGGAGAAGAAGAGGAGGAGAGAGGTGTGTTGGGGGCCGGGGGACAGAGACAGATCGGCGGAGAAATGCGCGCTGGACGGATGGATTTTCTTCTGCGCGAGCTGCTCGAGCCTTTGTAAGACAACATGGGCTGCATAGGATCCCGGACGATCAGTAAGGACACGCTGCCTGCTCTGCCATGTGGATGGATGGATGGATGGATGGATGGATGGATGGATGGATGGATGGATGGATGGATGGATGGATGGATGGATGGATGGATGGATGGATG